CACGCAATAGACAGTAGTCATGCTAAACTAGAATCTCCTGGATGAAATATAGAATATATAGTATATTTTTGTATAACATCATGGCTTTAAGTCATATAAAAATTAAAACGACGGGATTTTCCAATAAAAATATGCACATCATCAAGTATTCTTCTATTTGTAAGCCCATCACAATCAGGACAGCCCTGGAGAAGAATGTTTTTATCAATGTGGTTGTGGTTTCCATAACTATTAAGAGAAGTGAACAAAGTTGTTCTTTGATTATTAAAAATAGGACATTCCAAAAAGTAATGAGATACTGTTTCATGTTCAGCAGAGCAGGTACAAGCAGGACTATTAGTAAGATGGTCATGGTGTAAATCATAATTTAAATTACTGCAAGAGTTTCGAAGTCGACATAGAATAATACTTGCTCTTCGGTTACCTTCTGTTTTGAAAATTGAAACAGATTCACTATCAGAAATAATATCTTTATTCAAATATTTTTTTAATGCTGCAGGAGAGAGAGAATTAAGAAGATCAGAATTTGCAATGTTAATTGTGCGGCACATTTGAGGGAAAAAACTGTCAAAATAGTTTGTCTTAGTATGTATATACAGTTAGAGTATGAGGTTGAGAGATATAGCAAGTTTCTGGTGTCCCGAGACCAGGTCTATTTCCCGAGGCGAAGCTGAGGGAAATAGGCATGGTCAAGGGACACCAGAAACTTGCTATATATGCCTCAACCCCTATATAACGTGTTTGTTGCCTCCCAGTTACACCACAGTAGAGGGCAGTCAACCGTTTTATTATACCGATACACACTAGACAGATAATTTTAACTAGAAAATATTTGTAAACCATAAGCTGTATAGCTTCACGTCCCAAATACCCTTTTGATGGCAATGGAGCCAAATGCTTACGAGTTCGGCAGCAAGCTCCGCCCACCTCGCGCGTCACTGCCGAGTTCGGTAACAAGCTCCGCCCACCTCTCGCCTGATTGACTCGGTGGAAACACCCGAGCTAACACACAGGACTAAAACACACTCAGGCAAAAGTGGGGACATATTCGATTTAACCAATTACTTTTATATAGAGTAAATAAAGTAGAGGTGTAATAATATCTATAAACGACCCTTCTCAAACATTTTGTGATGTGTTGTATTTATTTATTTATTTTTAATTCTTATTACAGGACTCTCACAAAATATAACGTGTTTGTTGCCTCCCAGTTACACCACAGTAGAGGGCAGTCAAGTGTAAATGGTAGATACTATCGATATAAAATAAAGCATTAAACCCTGGATGTTATTAATTCCCGATTCTGTGTTTTCGATGGATATACATTATAGCCATACAGCTAACCGTGTGTTAGGTAATGCATCCCTTATATAATCTAGGGGATTAACAGAAAAAAAACAAGCAAATCGATTTTAAATTCCTTGTCGGTGGGATGAACGCGTTCCACAACAAGAACGAAATAATACCATTATAACAGCATCATCTTACGCAGAGTAAGAATTAGACGAAGAAGTTGTATCGTTTAGAAGTATTGTATACTATTGTTCAGCACGGGACAGTATCTATACGTTTACAATAGCACATCTGACTCTTACCAACACTGACTAGTTTACTATAGTGCATTTCACTATAATTTAGGACGGAACAATATCTTGACATTAACCATAACACAGTCGACAGTATAGCAGCATAGCAGCATAGAAGCAAAGACCAGTAGCGAGACCGTAACCATTAAAAATATGACTGTAACAGCGCTGAACTGCTCTGATACGGGTAACATAGCATTCTTGATTCTGTTATGACACTAAATAGTATGGCACGTTTAGCATATCACGTATGACTTTCATGAGCGCTAAACAGTTACAATACGTTAAGCATAGTACAAAATTAATGATACTGTCATTAATGATAAACAGTAACATACACGTTAAGTGTATCACATATGATACTGTCATTAATGATAAACAGTTACAATACGTTAAGCATAGTACAAAATTAATGATACTGTCATTAATGATAAACGGTAACAAACACGTTAAGTATATCACACGTGGTACTGTCATTAATGCTAAACAGTTACAAACACGTTTAGTATATCACATATGATACTGTCATTAATGATAAACAGTAACAAACACGTTAAGTATATCACATGTGGTACTGTCATTAATGCTAAACAGTTACAAACACGTTTAGTATATCACATATGATACTGTCATTAATGATAAACAGTAACAAATACGTTAAGTATAGCACATCTGATACTGTCATTAACGCTAAACAGTAACATACACGTTAAGTATAGCACATATGATACTGCCATTAACGCTAAACAGTAACAAACACGTTAAGTATAGCACATCTGATACTGTCATTAATGATAAACAGTTACAAACACGTTAAGTATAGCACATATGATACTGCCATTAACGCTAAACAGTAACAAACACGTTAAGTATATCACATCCGATACTGTCATTAACGCTAAACAGTAACAAACACGTTAAGTATATCACATTTGATATTATTACCCAAAAGTCTATATAAATTATAATTAGACGTTTTTGACTGTTTATGGCTTTTTGTCCAATTTCGGCTCTAGGGGTGAAACAGTCAAAACTGTTTTCCCGGTCAGAGCGAACTGTTACCCGGCGCGAATTCGATGCGCAGAAATCTCCCCTCGAGAGCCCCCTTCAAGCGTTTCGGTGACCGCGACTCAGTGTTGAAGCAATGGCAACATTGGATGCAGCATTGATACTAATATTTGTTTGGTAATAAAACAATTGTTTCATGGTTATTTGGGGAACAGTCAAAACTATCATCCCTCGCCAGGGGGAAGCCTTGTGGAACTGTTTGCCCTTGGCCTAGCGGCCTCGGGCAAACAGTTCCCCAGGGATTCCCCCTACCGAGGGAAGATAGTTTTGACTGTTCCCCAAATAGCCATGAAACAATTGTATATTATTACCCAATAGTCTATATAAATTATAATTAGTAATTTTTGACTGTTTCTGGCCTTTTGTTCAATTTCGGCTGTAGGGGTGAAACAGTCAAAACTGTTTTCCCGGTCAGAGCGAAATGTTACCCGGCGCGATTTCGATGCACAGAAATCCCCCCTCGAGAGCCCCGTTCAAGCGTTTCGGTGACCGCGACTCAGTGTTGAAGCAATGGCAACATTGCATGCAGCATTGATACTAATATTTATTTGGTAATAGAACAATTGTTTCATGGCTATTTGGGGTAGGGGAAAGCCCTGTGGAACTGTTTGCCCTTGGCCTAGCGGCCTCGGGCAAACAGTTCCCCAGGGCTTCCCCCTACCTCGGGATGATAGTTTTGACTGTTCCCCAAATAGCCATGAA